GAAGAGAGGAAGGAATCAAGAGATTCAACCAGAGACTCTGCCCGACTGCGACTCAGTCAACACATTCTCCAGGAACGGTCTTACCAGGAATATACAAAAGACTATATGTAAATATTGTGTACACTTTCTTGTTTCAATACATTTTGTTCTAAGTACATTTTGTGTTGCATTATTATTCCATGCATTAGTCAAGTTTCAACAATCATTCATCTCCTTTTCTTCATATTCAACCAATTTCCATCTCATTCATCCTCATTCAACTCATTCCTATCTCATTCATTTCAATGTTATTCATTCATACATTCAATTCATTTCTATCTAATTCATTCTCCTTCACCCTCATTCAACTAATACTTGTCTCAATCAAAATATTCATTCATACATACATCCTCATTCATTTCTCATTCATCTGATGTCTATCTCATTCATTCATAAATTCAACTCATTCCTATCTCGTTCATCTCAATCTCATCCTATCCATTCATATATTCATCTCATTCCGATCTCATTCATTTCTCATTCATCTGATGTCTATCTCATTCATTCATAAATTCAACTCATTCCTATCTCGTTCATCGCAATCTCATCCTATCCATTCATATATTCATCTCATTCCGATCTCATTCATTTCTCATTCATCTGATGTCTATCTCATTCATTCATAAATTCAACTCATTCCTATCTCGTTCATCTCAATCTCATCCTATCCATTCATATATTCATCTCATTCCGATCTCATTCATTTCTCATTCATTCATACAATCAACTCGTTCCTACCTTATTTATTTTCATTTCTATCTCATTCATGTCATTTCTATCGCATTTATTCTCATGCATCCTCATTCAACTCATTCTAATAATCTCTATGTCCTCAAATACTAGCCGCACCCTGTATATATATATTTTCGAATAAATAATAATGTTTTCTCTACTCTGTATTGAGCACTCTTTTAAGAAAAGTATTTTTTGGTTATTGGAAATTATTCCGTATACACCAACCCTATACTTGTATATATATATATATATATATATATATATATAATTTTCGAATAAATAATTATATATATATATATATATAATTTTCGAATAAATAATTATATATATATATATATATATATATATATATATAATTTTCGAATATATATATATTCATAGATTCATTTCTGTAGTTCCTTGCCAACAGCAAGCAGAAATATTTCGCCTCCCGATGATGGCCATTTCGGTCGAAACTAGTCGAGGAATCTAAATGGAATAATAATAATAATAATAAAACGAAAGAATATTAATCTACAACCCAGTGTGTCTAATGATTTTATTTTTTTTTAATTTTTTAATTTTCAATATATATATATATATATATATATATATATATATATATATATATATAAATTAATAAATGTACTTGAACTAGCTATTGTATTTTCAAATCTTCTTGACGACACTCCTGGTTTCGATTCAGTGAGTCATAATATAGTCATATTGCTTCGAAATAAACTCACCAGACGGCGCTCTTTTCCATTCAAATCCCCCTAACCCACTTTCATTTCACTGATATCAGCCTTATATTCTTCTCTGCTCTAGGATAAAAATACGGGTCCACTTCATTATAAGCGTAAGATTAGTCGGAAAGTGAGCGTATGGCATAATTTGGTAGCAAAATAAAAGAAAGAAAACCAGGCAGAATATAGAAACCTTTCAGAACAATACCCCACCACCCCAATTACCCCGACCTCCTCCTAAAAAATATAGAGACAGCAGTTACAGGGCAGAAAGTCGTAAAAACTCTCTGGGGCGGGCCTGGACTGTATACGACGGCTGTTAAAATTCATGCGAGTCACCCCATAAAGTACTTCGTCCATATTCAATGGAGCATTGAAAAATCGAACGAATTGGAGGGGAAAGAGAAAATGGTCCAGACTTTCTTCCTTTCATTTTTACTGGTAGGCGTTGATCAAAAGTTTTTTTGTTTTTTGTTGTTGTTTTTGTTTTGTTTTTTCTCCTTTCTTTTCTGTCTGAGGCAAGCAAGGCGGCTGGTGAGCCAAACTTGCGTTGTGTGCGACAACTCTGTAGCCCCTTTCCACATCGACAATACGCTGCAAAATCTTTGGCAGCGACCATAAAGGGCAGATAATTAAGGTGGCACTGGCAGCGGGTGATGTAATTTAAGAATCTCCTAATGTAGATTGATGTTCAGGCTTGGGGAGGCTGGTTGCTTGGTTGCCCGTCCGTGCCTTATTAAATGTGGAGATATATACGATCCAAGCCGGTCTAAGTTGGCAGAGCTTTTAAGCCTGCTCTGATATTGCTTTGTTTTTAGTATATATTTTTTATTGTTGTTCTTGTCTCATACACACAAATTTTTATATCGACACATGTATACTTATATATAGAAATGTCTTTGTTTTTTTTATTTGTATCATTTTTTTTAAATATCTCGATTCTCTACACAAAATGTTCTTTTAATAAGGGTTAACTTTGAACCTATGGGATTTTTTTAACTTTTACGATCTATAATACATTATTTTGTGTTTGTTTTTTATTGGTTTAGGTTTTGCTTGTTTTTTGGGGTTTTTTTCTTGGAGTGTTTTTTGTTGGTTTTGCTTTTTTGTTGTTGTTTTTTCTTGTTTTAGCTTTTGCTTGTCTGATTTATGTTTTTGTTTGTTTCTTTTGCTTCGTTGTTTTTGCTTTTTGTTGCTTTTGCTTCTTTGGTATAAGTTCTTGGCAGTTTCTTTGTTGGCTCTGTTTGTTTTTGTTTTATGTGTTGTTTTTGTTTCTTTATTGTTTTATTTTTCTTTTCTTTTCTTTTCTTTGTTGCCTTTTGTGTTTGCTTGTTTTCTTTTAGCTTCTGTTTTTTCTATCTTTGTTTTTCTTCAGTCTTGTAACAAATATTTTTAGATATATAAGGTTAATGGACGATTTATAAATTATTTACGCCCATAAAATGGTAATAACTCAGGAACTTGTTTTTTTTTTCCGACCATTTCAAAAATGACATTCCGGAGTGAAGAATAATCTACATTTTTTCATTTGGCAGAAATGCAAATATTATATTTATACACACAACGCACGAAAAGCGGGGGGAGTGCTGAAATGTTCATGAATCCGACAAAGAATGGCTGGCTCCTAAAATTCTCATGTTTGATACTTTCACTTAGAGACTTAGAACTGATAAAACTTGAAGGAGAATGAATGAGATAGGAATGAAATAAATGTGTAAATGAATGAGGAGGGAATGAGTTGAATAAGGATGAATGAGATAGGAATGAGATAAATGGAATATATATATATATATATATATATATATATATATATAAAACAAAAATAATGAACCAAATAATATTAAGATTAGAAAACGATAACTAAGACCATTGATGTCTGGAAGGCATTTGTGCACCTCCTGTTACAATTAAAACGGAGTTTCATCGAAAAGCAACAGTTGAATTCAATGAATGATAAGACGCAAACCCGTCCGATAACAAGCAGGATTTTTTTTTTTTTGGGGGGGGGGCGAGAGATTTATCTCTATTCGAATCAATAAAAATTTAGATGCATTTCATAGGCGCGACACAATCAGCTCTACATATAACTGTTATAAATGATCAAGTTGGTATACCCTTGTTTTGTTAATCCCTCCTTTGTGAGAGATATTTCTGTTTACTAGGACTATAAAAGGACACTATACGCGAACATTGTATTCTCAGTTGAATAGAGGTTTCTTAAAGCCTACGCCTGCGTACTTTTGTCATTACAATAACTACATCACATGTCGTGTCTATGAAATGCATATATATATTGACAAGGTACTACGATTATGCTTCTTATTTAATTTAATTTTTCTTGTGTTCGCACAAGTTTTTTTTTCTTTTCTGGACACAAAATGTTTAAAGACTGTGCAAATGTTCTGCATTTCGGAGCACTTTAGTAACCAAACTTATTAATTACATCGTTCACACTACTACATGCCTATCCAGACGGCTTACATTACACCTGTCCGACCACAGCTCCATTACACCTCATTTAATACACACACACAAACCTACCATGTTTCAATCGGAAACATACTAGTTTAATACCTTAGATATATAACAGAACACATACATTCAGTTAAAAAGTATTGATAATGGCTAAAAGAATAGCCGCAAGCGCTCGGAATTACAGAACATTTGGACAGTTTCTACACACTCTGTATCCAGAAAAGAAAACACTTGTACGAACAACACAAGAAAAAACCAAATAAAAAGCTTAATCGCAGTACATTATCAGTCGTCTTTAACGAAATGGATATATATATATATACGTGTGTGTGTGTGTGTGTGTGTGTGTGTGTGTGTGTGTGTGTGTGTGTGTGTAAAAAACAAAAGGAAACCTTAACTTAGGGACTTTATCAAGGCAATTGTGCATTCTTTAAAAATTAAATTTAAATTTAAAATGCTTATCATCCCCTATATATATAGCATATGTAGTTACATCAATGTAAACAACACTTTAGTCAGATAAAATCCTCAAGGACAAAACACGTCACACGACAACTTTTCCCGCTTTGTCATAGTTTTCACTAAAATTGTATTTGACATATAAGGATTTATTTTATTGAAGAAATTTAATAGTTTTCGGATAGCTGTTGGCGGCGCTTAGGATTGTAGAAGGTTTGCAGGAGGTTTTTTTTTTGGTTTTCGTGGAAATAGATCGGACTAAAAACTTTTCTTTATTTGTGTATGTATTTATTGATTGATTCGTTTTTTACGGTTTATCAACCCTTTGCAAGTAATTTAAAACCAGAATTTTTGCTTTAGAATGTAAGATTTTTTTTCAGCTAATAATGATTTATTGATACAAGTCTTAATAATTAACCCGTAGCTGGGGGAAAGAAGAAGTGAATTCATACCTTTCCCTAGGTTATTTGCACCAAAGTGAATATAAAGAACCCAACTGGAATTGGAACTCGGATCTCCGACTAACAATTCCGAGCCATTATCCATTACACCGGCCGCACATCCAAGCTTACAGCACTTGGCATTCCGAAGCGGCCACCCATCTACCTACTGACAACACTCAACGTTACTTAACTTCTGTGATCGTACGGGAACGGGTATTTCAACGTGATGTGTCCATAAGATGTGTGCGCGCGTGTGTTTGTTAGGTTTTTTTTTGGTTTTTTTTTGTGTGTGTTTCGGTTGATAAAAGTACTTATGCAGGTATCTCATAGAAATACCAATATACATAAATCTCGATATACTAAAATATATTCATATTTTCTACGTTTACACACACACACGCACTCATTAAAATCTCATGCATTTACAAAATGCCTACAACGCAATAATATCACTTTCGTCGTCGCGTACTAAAATCCCGTTCCTCTGACGTGTCATCATGCACAATCCTTCGTACTCCAACCGACGAGAGCTGAATCAGCAGTGCCATCTGGTGGCCCAGAGGCCAACAAGTAATAGCGAGTGAACAACCATGCAGGAGATAACTCTCTTGGGATATTTCCTCATCAGAATCGAAGAGAGTTTTTTTGCCTCAAGCAGCGGCTGTCACTTTGCAAAATCAAAGAGTGCACCCGAACCATCAATTTCTCTCCGATGACAGAAAAGAGGGGTGGGCTGTGCTGGGTGTGTGTTTGCAGAGAAGGGCAAAGCACAATCCTGAAATTAATCGTCTCAAATCACCTGCGTTAAATCCCGACATAATTCTTTCGGCAACACTGGCAAACCTCAACGGACAGAAGTAATATTTAGTCCTGTGTATCGCCCTCACTTGTGACGTTTTTCTTCAGGACGTGAACGATCATAGCTCTTCACATCTTCTTATTCTTTGCTGATGTCAGTAACATTTTCTCAAGTCAAGTGACGTTTATACAAAAACTCGTATTCTTTGTTGATTTTCTTATATTTTTATACTTCTATGTAATTTTTAAAAAATAACTTAAAGACAAACATACTGTCGAAATATTGTTGAACACTGTAAAACTGTATCTTTTTTTACTTTTCTTAAATCGCGCTCTTTTTAAGTATTATTATTATTATTATTATTATTATTATTATTTCCTTTATTTTCTGTTGTATACACATTTCCTTCCGGGTCCCAACCAGTGACCTAAGATCAGAAATGGCACCATGATTTTTTCCCACTGAATATTTTTTTTTAAAGTTAAAATAAAACAACCTAAGATGATAGACATTATACACTGATAAAACGTAAGGTGTGGGCTGTACTTGTGAGAACAAATCTTTTTTGCATCTCTTTAAGGCATGGGATACCAGGGATCCCTCCAGAACTTTTTTTTCAAATCAAATCCAGGATCCAAGCCACAGCTGAAATTATGGATGTCTTATGTGCCACATTTTTAGATGTCCACTTCAAGATCCTTGAATTTCGATAGTTTTTTAAGTTCTCCAAAAGATACATTATAGTCTGCAGGAACTATCATGTCAAGAAAGCATATTCTTTGTTTGTGCTTTTTGACGACTAACTTTGATTGTTCTGACCGTGTTTATGGTGAAGTCCGAACAAAAATTATTAAATGTCCTGTGTCTCTAATTGAGCCTGGATGGTCTTTATATTATTATTATTATTATTATTATTATTATTATTATTATTATTATTATTATCATTTCCTTTGATTTCTGTTGAATACTCATTTCCTTCCGGGTCCCAACCAGAGACCTAAGGTTAAAATGGCTTTATGACATTTTCTAATGATCATTTTAGTAAAAAAATAAAAAAATAAACCAAGATAACACATATTTTACATAGATAAGGAACTTCGTAATGTGTGAGCTGTACTTGTGAGTACAATTTTCTTCATTTCTTTAAGACATGGGCTACCCAGAAATCCCTTAATGATTCTATCAGACCCCTTTTCCAATCATTCCGAGGGATTCAACTACGACTGGAATTATTCATGTCCTCAGGTGCCACATTTTTTAGATTTTCATTTCAAGATCCTTGTATTTTGATAGTTTTCTTCCTTTTTTTTTTTTTTTTTGAAGATCTTCAAAGATACATTAAAATCTAAAAACATTAGGGCCTGTCATGTCAATAAGAAAACACATTCTATTTTGTGGTCTTTGATCACCAATGCCTAAGCGATTAGCTTTGATTGTTCTGTGATCTTTTTCTAACTGTGATGTGATCAGCGTTAAAACTAAAAACCGTTTAATGAATTCATTCTTATATTAACTTTCTTATCAAGTGTATTTTGTAATAGGTTATCGGAATTTCTTAAATAAAACATTTTCTTTATTATTCATTCTTAAAAAATCTTTTCCTTCGTACGATATTTGTTAAACAACATAACATGAATCAGAAAAAATAGAATTCGTATCTTGTACACTTAGGAACTTGTCAGCAAATACAAGCTGTCAGTGTCGATATGCCAGATCAGGACCTATCACATTGAATATCTGTCTTGAATCACGATATGAATAGCGGTAGCACCAGATCATATATGGCAACAGTGTCTAAACTGTGAACGCGCACATGAGTGTTCCTTTAAATGTTCTGAGACTGAACTATGATCGTTCAAGTAAAACCTAAGCATTCTCGTCATCGTCATTGTTGTAAATCCAACATACGTATACAATCTCCCAAAGGACATTAGAATCGACATAGGATGCTGATCTTTATATATATATATATATATATATATATATATATATATATATCGTGGCACGCATTGTTGTACTCGTGGCATACCACGAGTACAGCGATCCTGGTACTCACAGCCTATAATTAATTGTAGCTTGATCTTAAATAATATTTTCGGTTTTGTTAATACATTAGACAATATTACATTCGTGGACATTAATTTATAGTTTTATTTATTCGTGGTCTTGTCATAATTTGAAAAAAATTGTTTTTTAATCTTTTCTCAAACACCCTGCTTATTGAACCGGCCCACCGTTTATGACATTTTCTTCTTTTTTTTTCTCAATGTTAGAACATTCGTGAAAGCACTCCGCAAACCATCTCTTGAATTTTCTCATTCTTCAAACAATCGCATTTATTACAACACGACTTTTTAGCAAGAACTCGAAAATCTGATAGAACAAAATATTTGACGCTAAGCAGTCAAGCCTATTTCAAAGCTTCCACAACAGAATGCGATCTCTTTATCATCAAATCAATGCAGGCGGCACTGAAGGTTAATTTGTACGTCAGGAACTCTCAGTTGATTTCTCTTGATAAATCAATGGTATTAGCTTATTCGATTTACAAGCTTTCGAATAGCGGGGAAAGATGTATTTATGCTTCTGCCATCCTTTCATAAAATCGAAGTTATGTAAAAGCGGAATTGTGACAAACGATATATATATATATATATATATATATATATATATATATATATATATATATATATATATATATATATATATATATTAAGTACATTTTATGTTTAACGTTCTTTTTATAGATACAAGTATTTAAGTAAATGCTCTGTTTATAATAAACAGTATTAAATAACATTTACTTAAATACTTGTATCTATAAAAAAAGAACGTTAAACATATAAAATGTCTTTAATAAATAAATTGTCGGACTTTGTCCATTTCTTAATATATATATATATATATATATATATATATATATATATATATATATATATATATAAAGAAATATAGTCTTAAGGTGTGCTATATTTATGGGATAAAAGTGCTCAATATCAGAGATAGAGCGTGTGTAAATATAAAGTGAACACAGTCTGTCAACACTTAGTCTGTTTCTAGGAAACAGACTGTCCCTAAGCTATGACTTATGTTCACTATTTATATATATATATATATATATATATATATATATATTAATGTTATATATATATATATATATATATATAAATATATATTAATGTTCAATCAATAGAGGACCCATGAGACACTCAAGGTAGAGGCTTACAGTCTTGTATGAACGTAAAAAAGAGAAAGAAAGCTCATAAGGCTATGTAGGAAAGATAACGTTTAACCCTAGACTTGAAAAGGTCAAGATTTTAGTGATTGGGAAAACATCTTATTTCTTACTATAGGAATACGAAGAGAGTGGGGATGATTCTACCTTGTGTACGGGGCACACCCGGTCCTAGTTCTAAAGGTCAGGGGTGGTGGTGGCACTTAGGAACGTAGCTCGTCAGTGCAGTTGCCGTGGAAACAGCGATAGAGTAGCGAAAGACTTGCAACGTTTCGTCTGAGGAAAGATGTTGTAGGGTGGAAAATAATTTATCAGCCAGAAAGCCGCGTGGACATATGTGAAATCTATCAAGACAGTCACGTGTGTACTAAGAAGCTTTAGCTCAGATATGTTCCATGTTTGGTCTGACCTTCGTCTTGTAAAGACAGAATACAGCAAGTGCTGTCAGATACCTACTGGAACGGTACAAATATATATATATATATATATATATATATATATATATATATATATATATATACTGATATATACCTGGTTATCATGTGTGTATGACACCACACACATGGACACACGGCATGCACAAATGATGGCCAGATAAACTGGTCGGACAAACATACAGGTATCCATGAAGAATAAAAATATATAGACATACACTGACAAAAATAGATAGACTTACTCACGGGCACCCACGTGAGCCCTATGCAACACAGGAAGAATGTGTATGTGTGTTTGTATGTGTGTGTGTATGTGTGTGCATGTGCGTGTAAGGTCATTTTAATGTAGTTTTAAAATTACTCGTATTGATATTTAATCTCACTTTCTCTTTTAATATTCTATAAATAGAATTATGTGATTGTATATTTATCATCTGGAGGTATTTTCATTTTAAATTGATAATTTAATTTAAATTTAAATATACTAATCTTTAACTATCAATATTGATAGTAAAATATATAATTAATTTTTTTTAGATATTTAAACACTTCAGAAGTCACCTAACGTTAAACATAAATTAATAAATTCAAATATAAACATATATGTAATTATTTATAAATGTATATGTATGTAATTTATGTATGAATATATATAGGCACCTATGTATATCGCAACATGTTTGTCTATGTGTGTAATCGCGCATGTAAATAAACGTATGTATATATGTGATTTGAATGAATATGTATGTGATATATCAAGAA